AGCCTCCATTAACCAGACTCAGCCACAATCAATATCCCAGTCTAAGCACGTTCCACAGCCACAGCAGGGTGCTCAGCCACCCCATCAGGTCCAGCTGCCTTTGTTTAACTTTCCCCAATCTCCCCCAGGTCAGTATTCCACCTTGCATAACCTGGGACTGCTTCAGATGCACCATCACCAAATTCAGCTTCCCAACACTTCTTGGCCCATTCACGGGCCCGTTATTCACTCGGCACCGGGTAACCCTCCTCATTCGACAAATGTCCCGTTTTCTATGAGATCTGGCAGCAGCAGCAGCACCAATAACCAGAGCAGTGTAAGCCTGAATGATCCCAGTATCATCTTTGCACAGCCTGCTGCCAGGCCCATGGGAATCCCCAGCACTTCTCATGAGGGACACTGGCACAATCCCGTGACTCCAAACTCACTGGTGAACAATGGCACTGTGGGGAACTCAGGTAACTCTTCTCTGTTGTATCAAACCCCTCTCACTTTGTGTACCCACGTTAGGTGTTACAGAAACAGCTAACTCTTGCAACTTTTTTTAAATATGATGCTTAAGAAACGAAACCTTTACCTTCAGTGTTTTAACATTTTCATAGGAAAAAAAAAAATTAGGCAGGTTCTGTAACTGTGACTTTCAAGCATTAGTCTTGTCGGCCCTTATGGCTGTGCAACAATGAGAAATCTGCATTCAACTGAGAAATGTCCTAATCATTGTTTGAGTCTAAAGCACATTGCTGTGAATATGCTGATAAATGATGGTTTTGTGGTGTTACAGAATCACAGAAACATTAAGGTTGGACAAGCCCCCCAGGATCAGTATGTTGTTACATTGTTTATTAGCTAAATGCTGAGACTGCAACCAGGAATTTAGAGACTGGCAGGATTAGAGCTGTGCAAGTTGAATATTGCCTCCATTTAGGGCAGTGTCACGTCATCTTATCCATTCTTTGTTCCTGGAGTTTATCCTGCCACATTCAACTTCCATAATCTCAGTGTTGATTCCTGAAAATACATTTTCCTGCAACGAGTGGGCAACAGCCTCTCACCTCATAGCAGAGCCAAGTGTGTTTGAGGCTGACAAAAAGCAGTATATAATAATTACAGCCCGTTCAGTTTTCTCTGCAACATGAACTGTGGCAGCCCCTAAATGTTAACTGTTATCTGTAGATGATGGGAATGGTCTCCTGATTTATTCTGAGTAACTCTTCCTATGTTTAAAAAACCCACATCCATCATACAACATAGTGGGGCAGTTCTTCCCAAGGTGGAAGTTCTGACAAGCTCCACAAATTCTAGTTTCTTCTCTATTCTCCAGTTTTCTTGTGCTGTCAGTCACAGTATTTTTTTCCCATTCCTCATCTTCCACCTATATCTGACCTCATCACTCTCCTTTTCCCAGCTCCCAGTCACAGTATTTCTCCTCCTTGCATTTAATCAGTTTTATTTCGTTTTTGGCTTAGCTGCCACTCAGCTGGGGTCACTGGGTGGATGCCCAGTAGAGATGAGCTGTCTCCTCTCTCTTTGGGTTGGTTTCTTACTTGTCTTGGGACAATTTAAGAACAGTAAGTTTTTGGAAACTTGGTCTTGGCTCACATAACCTTGAGTTGGAAGGAGCTGCTTAAATTTTGTTTTCAGTAGACAACTGATCAGAGGGTAGGATCGTTAGAAGTTTCAAACACAACTTTTTTTCGTGCATACTCCAGGGCTACACCTCATGTTGTGTGTCCTGCCTCCTTGAATGCTTGATTTCTCATCCTTAACGTTGCAGTGATGCTGGAATTTTAAATGGAATAGCTTACAAACTTTGGAAATAAGGACACAAATTATATTTTTAAAATTCAATTTTAATCAATTTTAATATTTTTAAGAATCAGTTTTTAATTGGTCTGATGATCTAGATAGCAAGTTTCTTAAGCATATAGGTATTAGTGGAATTCCAGTGTACTACTGAGAATTATTTCTTGCAGTAGGATAATTAATAGCTCTCATGTCACTGGATGCTTGTGTGGGATCAGACAGCAGTAACATTTTTCAGACCTTGTATATTCATCATGAGAATGACATAGGAATAATGAAATCCTAGGTCTTGATTTTAATACTGATTCATCCTCTCTCTTCCTCCCCAATAAATTCTATTATAGCAAATTACGAAGTAATTTAGTTGGTAATTTTTATTGATGTATATTTAAAAACAAAGTAGCCCATCAGACTAATCCCATTAAGTCCCCTCTACAAACTGTTATTTTAAGATGTAAATTGTATTTGTGACTTACTGTTTAATTCTTTCAACTTGCAATGTGCTTTTCCCTTTCGATTGAAAAATAGATCAGGGTTTCCAAGGACAGTTTGGTAAAATGAACCCTCCTTCTGTCCCTTGGGACCATGGGACCCCTACCCATTTTCCTCTCCTCCGAGGAGCGTGGCCTTACAATATGCCTCAGAACTACATGCAGCAGGGAAATGCCAGCTACCCACCGAACAAACCTTTCTACCCTCAAGGTACCAGAACTAGTTTGTGCATCCCCAGCTCATGCAACGTGTCTCTGTGCTGTCCCCGAGGCTTTCAGAGCCGAGCAATCACGTGGCACCCGCCAGGCTCCCTGGAACCCTAATGAATCCTCCAGTGCAATCAGCCTCCTCCAGGGATGGATGGATGGATGGATGGATGGAAATCCTTGTGGGAGGGAAGGGGTTAAATCAAATTCTGCAATCTGAGCCAGTTTGCTGCACTGTCTGGTGCACTTCTGGCCTCTTCTTCCTTTGCTGCTGTCTCACTGTAGAGCCACCTCTGCCTCAGCAGAGGTTAAGATGATTGGCCCCTGAGCATGTTAAAAATATGAAGAAATTTAATCTGTCTAATTAATTTATTTGGCTTTTGTGCCTTGCTTTGTGAACTGACTTATATAGATAAACACTTGCAAGACCATAGAATAATTTGAGGTTGGAAGGGGCTTCTGGAGGTTACCTAGTCCAGCCCACGTGCTGTCAAAGTTAGATCAGGTTCAGTCAGTCAGGGTACTCTGCAGGAGTGACTTTATCTCAGCTCTGTCTGATGCCAGTGAAAGGTAGAGCTGTTCACCAGCTGGCAGGATTGGGAAGGGCTGTAGGAAAAAGAGAAATGATGCCCAAATTTGCCTTGGAGGATTTGCAGTTACATCTTGCTGGGTCACCTGGTGTAAAATGAGATAGCGGTGCAAATCCTTTTTGGAAACCTAATCTGCTGGCTGTAGCAGGGTTTCCAAGTGAAACTTCAATTTATCCTGAAGTTATTTCTCTTAAATATATGAAGCAATGCAGCAAAATGATGTATTGGTAATTCTTAGGGAATTTTGGAGATAGGATTAAAGTAATAGTGCATTGTCCCATTAAATGGGTTAGTTGCACAGATAGCATTTGTGTCAGTCTAGTAAATGGCTTTATTTCTAGGTTAGATTAGTACACTGAATGTAGCCAAGCACTGTTAAATGTTGGATTTGCTGAAGTAACTGTGATCCATTTTCTTTTAGCTGGTCCACTGATGCAGAGTAACCAGCGTTTCCCGCTTCTGTCTCAAGGACACCCACACTTGAATCTGAATTACATTCAACAGAAAAAGTGAAAGTCAGTGGGATTGTGGGTGGGTGGGGGGAGGGGAGGAAGAAATTCAGGTTCTGATTTAAAATCTTAATGCAACATGTTTAGATACAAGATTATTTAAGACTGTTTTTAAACTGTATCATTTGTACATAGATATGAACTATAGTTTTTACTAGTATCACAAAACTGAGTGATACAAATTTCATCTATTTTATTACCCTATTTTTAAGGGGAATTGTGTTTTGTTTTATCTTGATAAACTGTAAAGAGAGAGAATTTTTAAAATTAAGTTCTTTATTTTCTATTAGCTGTATTCATACTTTGGTTGCTTCAGACTTTATATATATTGTTCTAAAAAAAAAAAATAAAATTAGAAGGGGATTTCATGTGTTTAAAAATTTGTCACTTCTATTCTTTACAGAACTATGTAGTGCCAAAAAAAAACTTTTTAAAAGAAAAATAAAACTGCAAAAAAAGGACATAAAACTTTTTCCTCTTCCCTATTTGTATGCATGCTTGTTTAACTGGAATTAAGAAACTAGAATAACAAAAATAGCTTAAATTTAAAGATCTTAAGATGAGCATCTTAAACAAGTCATTCAAGCAGTAGACCTGTTTTTGTCCATGCTGGAGTTGTTCCATGTTGTGTTGTGTGTGTCTTGGAAATTCCTGAGGGAAAAGCACACCTGCTTTTCTGTTCATTAACTTTGCAAAATAATATGCAGCTACTCTGGAAAATTCTTGCTGTACTGGGAAGTAATTTTAAAGAGGACTTTCCATAAATTCCCTGGGCATGCTCTGTGTTGTCAGGACTCACTGGGCAGTATATGAGAATCCCTAAGCCCTAAATGCAGGGATAAACCTGCCCATCCCTGCTCCTGAAACAAGGCTGTCAATAAAGATGTGATACACAGGGGCTTAAAAACTGAGTTCCTGGGGTACAGAATTAAATGTGCCATAATGAGAACTATAACTTCAGTAAGACCTTAATTATTCTACAGTTTAAAAACCAGGCACTTGCCCACATCTGACTTGATTCAGAGAAGGCAGACCTGAGATCAGTGGCATAGGCAGGGAGGTCACAAACTGCTCAGTGTAGTGGTTTGCTGTCTTTAAATACATTGAACTTCTTGCCTCAAAACAATTAAGCACTTTGTACTACTTGAACCCTCTAAACTGTCTGAGAGGCAGCAGAAGCAGCAGATTAACGTGAGGGTGATTTTTACAAAGGAGCCCGTGACAGCTGCATGGTGGAGAGCAGTTTGGAGTGAGTTTTTTGTAAACTCACTGGCTTTTGACAGTCTTGCTTCCCCTCCTGTACTGGAGCTCTGGGATAGCTCAGGGCTGGTGGCTCTGCAGTGTCAGCTTCAAAAGGGAACATCTAAACACAGTATTACAAAAGAAAGCAGCCAGGAGCCTTGAAAGACAAACCTTTTTTATTGCTCTTCAGTAGCTTTTATGGGCCTTGAGGAAAACAATTTAAAAAACAATCCTCAAATTCTATCCCAAGGATGACTAACTCACTACATAATAAGTATCCTTAACTTTTTTTAATAAAAAAATCCCAACACCCAATGAGACTCGCACAAGAGGAGAATGATTGAAGACATGGGCTGCTAAAGCAGCCAGTACAGATCCAGCTGTCCCATAAAGCAGATGGGACAGCATTAGACTGCAGGTCAAGGTCCTTAAACTGTGTGCTGGGTTTAGTTTGTCATTCATTCCCTCGACGACTCTTTTTGTGACTTTTCTTAGATCTGAAACAGAAGAAAAGCTCTCTGACACAGTACCAGTAATTCATAGACCAAGGTGAGTCTTAGCAGTAAAGGGTGCTTTCTGCAGTCAGATATGGATGGTGTGACTTAAAACACTGAGAAAAGCACTCAGTGAAATAGTAGATCTCCAACACTATATAAAGCCACCTTCAATCTCCAAGATTAAATGACAAGAGCTGCTACAGCAATACAGATACCCTTAGAAATAGGTCAAACCTTTACCTTTCAGGTGATTTGGAATGACTTCTGTGTCTGTGACTTCGGTGATGCCCTGTGAGGTAAAAAGGTACAGTTATTTCCCCAGACCCCAGAATTCTTCTTTGTTTGCCATTGCAATCTGCTCCTAGTGCCCAAGTGTGCTAGATACTGGCAGAACAACCCTAGCCTTAATTAGGCACTTAAATTAACCTCGTGGCAGTTATCTGAAAACTTGCTCAAGGCAATTTTACTTGCACTAAAGGACTTCTCCAGCTATGTTTTCATGTAATCAGCACTTCTGTCAGCCAGATTAAACACTGATGCTGGTGACACAGATCTTTCTTGCAGTGGATGTTCTGCTGATAAAGACTTGCCAGAGTTAATCTGCAGGTGACAGAAATACCTGGAGATTTCGATCTGGATCTGTGGCGCCTTTCCCTGGACCTGCTGCGGTGCCGTCTCGGGCTTTTGCTGCGGTGCCTCTCCCGGCGCGGTGATGGGCTGAGAGAGAGACGCTTGTGAGAGAGCTGGACTGAAAATGCACATGTTCTAAGACTAAATAACAGAATAAAACTCTACCTTCTTCTCTTTGGAGAGCGACTTCGCCTGCAATGGGGGAGAAAAGCAAAAATTACAAAAAATCATGAGCAGAACCAGCTGTTTCATTTCCCACATCCTCCAGCAACAGCACCAGGGCTTCCCCTACCCCTGTTAGTGTGTGCTCGGCCTGCTGCACAAGGACCTGCTTCTGGACTGGCCCCTGCAGTGAGCAAGGGAGGTTAGTGCTGGGTTTTTCCTGGCTTATTGTCAGTAAGAGGAATTACCAGGATTTTCTCTGCAGCCTCTGGCATACATGAAAACAAAGCACTTGTTTCTCCTTAACATCCTCACTGCATTGTTAAATTCAGCTAAAGTTGGCCAGCAAGTTCAGGAGTTACCGAAGGACTGGAGAAACGGGCAGAGGGGTTGAGTGTGGCTGTGCACTGCAACTCCTTACTTTAGGGAGTGGCTAAAGGAACTGGCACGTGTGAGAGGTTCTGGCTGAACTGCCACCTTCACCTCTGTGCTCCAGCCACCTGCAGTAGAACAGGTAAAAACACTGCTCAGGAAGGGTCACGTCACCTCCTTGGAGACCTGCTCCGGCTGCGCCTGTACCGCACCACGGGAGAGCGGCGGGGTTTGTCCAGGTCTCTGTATCCCCGGCGCCGGTGGTCGGGAGATGGTATTCGCTCCAGCTGTAAACAAGGAGGGGGCAGGTTCTCTAAGCTTTGTTTCATCACGGTTTTTAGCTATCAGTAAATATTTCTGAATAATTAATGTAAATTACAAAAGTCATGCGGTCGAGCTTCCCCATCCTCAGGTATCTCATGTGAGTGGTTCTGCCTAAACCTGCCCACTGGAAATTAAAACAGCCACTTCTCATGCTGCTGATTCTGAAGAACTACAGCAGCAGTGACTGCGATGGTCATCATTTTCATCATCACCTTCAGCTCTTTCCATTACACATATATGTAAAACAATTTACCTGAAATATGTTTAACACAGAACAGAACCAGATTTGTGAACTTCAGGAGACAGAAAAGCTGAACAAACACAGAGCACTCAAGAACTGCTTCAGGATCTAACAAATCCTCACAAGCTGCTTATATGGAAATATTTTAAGGGGGGAGGTAAGAGTTGCCAGCAGCCTCCTGGTGCCTCCCCTCAAATATTTATCGTAGACCATAAAGTGTTCTAAAGTGGTTCAGCTTTAACTATCCCTTTTCAAAATAGTTCACTGACCTTTTCATCTTCCTCTTCTTCCTCCTCACTAGATTCTACGTCATCCATGTCTTCTTCCAGAGCACTAACACGAGGCTCGAGCTGCTCAGCTTCTTCCAGAACATACCGTTTCTAGGAGAAATGGCAGACTTTACCAAACATAATCCAAGTAAGAACAAACACCTGAGGAGGCATCCACAGCTTATACAAGCCAGCAGCTGATACAGCTCCTGAACCTGATGCAGTTAAGAATTCCATAACCATCTACTCTCCCCAACCTGCAAGCGAGGCAGAATGATATCGCACACACGTTCCTCATGGAGCAGCTCGTCAATGAACTCATCCACGTGCATCAGCTCAAATTCTGCGGGTGAGAAACAGCATTTAAGAGACAAGATTAGTGGCTAGAGTAAAGATGAAACACTCCAGTGGGCTGATTATGCCACAGTTGTTTAAGTTTATATTGCTAAACAGAACATTTACTCTAGCATGATAAGTTGAACAAAAGAGTTACTAAGAAACCACAGCTAAGCAGGAGTTCTTACCCCCATTTCTGTTCTGGCTCTTTATTTTTCTGTAGTCGTTGTACAGAGGTTCCAGGTACTTGTAGCAGTCGATGGCAGTGCCTGTCAGCCTCATGTACAGCGCTCCAAGCATTCGGACATACCTGGAAAGGAAACCTCCTCATGGACCTGGGCTTTTTGCACAGGTAGCAGCTGGGACAAAACTTTCCTTAAAGTTTCTGAGGAGAATCAGTACACTAAATAGAATACACAGCCATTTAGATTTCCTCCTTCACATGTTCAAGTTTATGAATAATAAATATAGTCAAGTGTGTGTATATATACACACACACACGTAATGTCTGTATAGGTGTGCCATCACTGCTAAAGCCAGAGAAAAATTAGATCAACATGGCTCCCTGCGTACCTTGTTCCAAATAGTTCAGGCAGAGGTTTATTACCACGAAAAGCACATACCACGAGTGCAAGCCACTCTAAACACAAATGACAAGGAGAGCAGTTTCAAAAGCAAGAGAAAACACTTGGGTTTGAGTAAGTTTATCAGGGCCCAGTGAGAGCTAAACCCTGCACTGAGGTATCCCCGGCTGTTTTGGACAGATACTCATTACACCACCACAAAATAATGGAAAAAATCGTGCTACAACTTACTTGAAGTCCTCGTTTTTTATGAACTCCACGATGATGTCCTTCTCGGGCTGGATCTGCAGCATCTTCAGCGTCAGGCACAAGAAGGGCGTGGGCTTGATGTTCCCTCCATAGACCCCCCCCACGTACTTCAGCTCCATGGCCTTGTCCACCACCAGCTCGGCTGCGACAGGGACGGGACAGGCCGTCAGCAGCAGCTCCCGCCGGGCCCCCCGGCGCGCCCCGGCCCGCCCGCCATACCCGTGAGGCCGAAACACTCCTCCTTCCAGTACTTGGACTCGTAGATGCGCGTGCGGATGATCTTCTCCACCAGGTACTGCGGGTTGGTGCCGTGGATGCTGTGCGCGTCCTTCACCGTGCGGTTGGCCATGTCCGCGGCCGCACAGCCCCGGTCCCGGCCCCGGCCCCGCTGCCCGCCCCGAGCTCAGCCGCGCACTCCGAACCCCCCTCCCGTGAAGGGCTCAGGCCTCTTCCGCCTCCGGGGCGCGGCCATCACCCGCCATCTTGCCTGCGGGCTGCCCGCCACAAACATGGCGGCCGCCCCGCCCCTCCCGTGTGCGCGCGCGCGCGGCCGGGGGGCGGAGCTCCTCGCGCCTTTGGCGCGAAGTTCTATCGTGGCGCTCGCGGGAGTCGCGGAGGGGTCGCGGTGAGTCGGGACTGTGAGGGGACAGAGAGGGGACGTGTGTCCCGCGCGAGTCACCGCGCACCGAGACGGGCTGCTCGGGGAGCGTGGGGAGTGTTCCTCGCTGGAGGTATCCCAGAACAGATCTGAACGCGGTCCTGTGTAACGTGCTCTGGGATGACCCTGCTGGAACGGGGAGGTGGGACCGGATGAGTGACTGTTGTCCCTTCCAGTCTTACCCGTTCTGTGAGGAGTGTCTGGCGGGTTTGGGGATCTCTGAGGAGTGTCTGGCGGGTTTGGGGCTCTGTGAGGGGGTCTGGCTGGTTTGGGGCTCTGTGAGGGGGTCTGGCGGGTTTGGGGATCTCTGAGGGTGTCTGGCGGGTTTGGGGCTCTGTGAGGGGGTCTGGCGGGTTTGGGGCTCCGTGAGGGGGTCTGGCGGGTTTGGGGCTCTGTGAGGGGGTCTGGCGGGTTTGGGGCTCTGTGAGGGGGTCTGGCGGGTTAGCGGCTCTGCGGCGGGGCCCGTGTGTGTCCGGGCGGGCGGACACCGTCCCTGTGCCGCCATGCGCCGCCCGCAGCGGGGCACGGTCCCTCCCTGAGGCAGCGCTGCCCCTCTCAGAAGCGGCAGCCTGGGGCGGGCGGGAGGTGATCGGCACCCAGGGCCTTGCCCTGAGTTTCCAAGGAAAATACTTACTTAGAAAAAAAGGAATTAAACAAACCAACCCAACCCGATCGCAGTGAGGTGTGGAAAACAAGCCAATGTTCAGTCTCCGGAGGGCGCAGCCCGCCCCGCCATAGCGGCGGGGGAATTGAATAGGAATTGAATAAAAATTCACTACTAAATATCTTCCTTTTTTCCTCCTCCCTCGGGGAAGGGTGTCTGGAGGCTTTAGGGAAGGTGTTCTTCTCTGAGCGAACCCCCACGTTCTTCGTACACACCAAAAGAGTTTGTGGCGTTTCTATGTATTTTTCCATCTTGCCTTCTTTTGTTTTTAAATAATATATTTTTTAATGTGTTTGCTTATTTCTTTCAGCTTTCGTTGGGAATCATGAACACCCGGCAGCAAAGCAAACTTGTCTACTCCTGGTATGGAAAACCCATGAGCTCAGACAGAAAGCTGAGGACTTCCCAGTACAAGTAAATAACATTTATTTCTGTCTTGCTCGGGGAAACTCAATCAAGGAATGTTTCCTTACCTTTCTGACATCGTTTAGGTTAAAGTGGCAGGCACTGAGAATATGAGTAAGATTTTGAGCATTTTGTTGTGACACTGCACAAATATAACCAAAACGTTGTTACAAAGCGCTTGGATTATAAATTGTATAACGTGGAACGAAAAGCATTTAATTATATCTGTGAATAAGTGTCAACTGTCTAGTTGAAATATATCTGAAAGCTAATCAGGGAACTAAACTGTAAGCGTTTCAAAAAGGGGTGTAACTGGCTGTAAAGCTGACGAGCCATCAAGTTTAATGATATGTGAATTGGGAAGAGTATGCACTTCTGTTAATCTACCTGTCTATCCCTCTCTAGGGGGATCATTATCACCTCAGAAAGCAGCAGAACAGAAACCTGTATACAACTTGGGGACTTTGTTCTAGTAGAAGGGGTGAATGCAGATCGGCCTTATGTAGCACAGCTCCTGGATTTGTATGAAGATGGTAAGAGAAATAACAATTTACCTTCTATCTGAGAAAAAAATGTTTTAAAGTTACCTTTTCGTGGGGATGTAGTTAGCATTAACACTGTATCACTGGCCTAATTTATTAAGAAAATTAAACTTTGGTAGTTGTTGCATCTGTATTCACATGCTCCCCAAATATTTGGTACTGATGGCTAGTTTCAGCAAAATTTGATACAGACATTATATTTTTACAGTCTTTTTGCTTAGTTGTTTAATTTAAAAAGAAATGCTCCTTGAGGAAGACAGTGTGAGTTCGTGCTTTATTTAGAGATTGGAGAATCCAAATGGAGCAAGAGCATTGCAGCCCTGAAAGATAGATCTTAGAGATCAGGCAATTTAACAAAAAAATACAGGGCTGAGCAAATGGGGTTTGTTACTTCTGTCCCTTCTAGAACTCCTTTTTTATTCCTAGATATGAAAAGATACATCATGGGAGGGGAGTGATACAAAGGCTATGTCTGAGTCTGAATTTGGGAGCTCCTCATTGGCTATGTCTGATTTCCTTGAACAGCTTTTGTTCTTTTTGTGCTATCATAATAATGCTTTGAGGTTTTCTAATTTTCTTTTACCTTTTTTAAAACATAAACACAAATCACCCCAGCTTATTTATTTACTAACGGACATTTATTGCAACATAAGTGAAGATTCTTTTCGTTCTGGAACAAAACACCTGGAACTTGCCTGAAAACAAGCTTTTTCTTTTGTTATGTATCGTTGACAAGGCACTGGTTGGTTAGGCAGTGAAAAAAACGTGTCTGGCCTCTGAAAGTACAGTGGCACTACAAATAACGTTCTGAAATGTCTCAGTTCTCCTTTTATGCCACTGCTTTTAGTTAGTGGGGTTTGAGGAGATCACATGAATGCAAATGAGGAACCGCTTCATCTGTGGTAGTGAACTGGTGGGCTGGATCTGGTCTCCTGGTATTTTGTGGTTGAGACCCTATGTAGGTGTTATCTTAGTCCTTAAAAGTCTCAACTCAACCATTGATTTAGCTTAGAAAATGGGAATTGCAATCTCTTACCAGATGCTTTCTCACCTGGAAGGATTTCTATCCTTGATGGCATTTTGGTTTAAGTCAACACAGTCTGGCCCTAACTATTTACAATAAAATTCTTCACATTCACTGACCTCTTCTCGTTGTTCCAGGTGCTCAGCACAAACGGGCAGTTGTGCAGTGGTTCTGCCATATTGGAGAGATACCTCAGAACAAAAGGAAGCTGCTCAAAAGAGAGGTTTCTCCCCAGGAGGTGTTTTTCGACCAAGTTCTTGGCTATGACACTGATATAGATGCCCAGACCATCATTAAAAGCATCATGGTATGTACTGCAACCCCTCTGCACAGAGAGGGATGAGAGAAACAGGAACAGTCCTCTAGTGCAATAAACTTATGCTGGTGTGAATGTAGGTTGAAGTGAAGGATTGCATGAGTTACAATAATAAGATCTATGAACAGAAAATAGCTGAATGCTAATGTAAGTGTTAATGTGTGTGTGCTTTGGTATTTTCTGTGTTTGCAGGTAATACCACTACATCCAGGGGAGGAACTACCTATTACAATAAACAAGGAACAAACTTTCTATGTAAAACAGTCTTGGGATGGGAAATGCTTTAAGGCTTTGTCCCCAGACACATTCTCTAAGCTGAAAGCCAAGAAGAAAAAAGACTGCACCCTGGACTCGTCAGAACCGTTTATTCCTTCAGACACCCTCACACCCCTGAAAAAAGAGAGAGAGAGTGTTGTTCGGAGCGCCACAAAACCCAAAAGTGCCGAGCTGAGAATCCAATCAAAACATTCTGCTTCCAAGTCCTCCCTCTCTAAGGAGAGGCAATCACAGAGAGCGGCCCATGACATCAAAACCCCAACAGCACGGAAGAAGTTGGAGTTAAGCAGTACGTACATGGCAATAGTCCGTCCTTTAGGGAGTTCTGAATGTAGCATGTCCTGTGCCTCTCCATTTTGGGTAGCTCAAACAGTGCTAACATTCAGCATCAGTATTTTTTAGCTGCCTTTGGGACCAGCCCAAGCCTTTTGGGCACATCGGTTGTCTGTCTTGTCTGTTATTTCGAGCAACTTTTGTAACTGACAATTCTAAATTAAAGTGCTTGTTCAGTGAAGTGCCCAGCTTGGCCTCAGAACATCCCCCTCTCTTTAATCTTCTGCCTAATGATGTGCTAAAATGTTTCCACTCACCTGATTGATGAGCGCATTTGATCCTATGTAACATGCAGTGTTTTCAACCTGCAACCTCAGTGAAGTTGTAAGTGATGGAGGTGGGTTACAAAACAGCAAATGTGTCTGTCTTCTATTTAGTCATTTTTTTATAGGAAGTCCATGCCTTCTCCTGATCCAGTTCCTTGTTCCTGGAGTGAAATGCCCATCTCCTTCAAATAACAGCCAGTTGTACCGTGCCTTCTGAAAGTTAACCAAAGCAGCCTTACTGAAGCCTGACAAAGGTTCATTTTGCCCTTGCTTTCTAGGTCCCACAAGATCCAAAGGCAGGCTCCTGGGCAGTGAAGTTCTGGGCCTTCTGGATGATGACGGTGATGCCGTAGCACCATTAGAATCAGCAGCTACTAAAAGAAAAGTGTCATTCACCAGTGACGTTTTAGGCCCACCACCAAAGGTCCCTTGCAGCAGTGACAAATCCAGGGCTGGATCTGACACTGCAGAGCCCTGTCAGAGGTTCAGTGACACAATTCGATTGTCCCCCTACACCAAGGCCAAAGACTTGAGTGAGAAAGCCAAGAACCTTCCCGTGGAAGATGACCCCATATGGTAAGTGTCGTTATTTGTCTATGGGATTGCCATTTGCGTGTCGTTCTCTTCAAATACATTGATGAAAGACTTCTGGACATAAGTCATTTTCCTCCTTTCCAAGAGTAAAGATGCTGATGTGACAGTGGAATTTGCACTTTTTTTTTTTTTGGTCACTTATTATAGAACATAAAAATGTTTACCTTTCATTGATGAGGTAATGGCATTTCAGCTGTATTTATAGATCTAAAAAAATCTCCAAGAACTGTTAACAAATAATTAAAGCATCTGGAATTCATCTCATCGTGTTCTTCGAACTAGTAGGAAAGTTTTGTACTAACAAATATTTCAGTGGTAGGGAGGAGAAGCACC